CCTTCGCAGTATGAACATTATAGTCCGTGTCATCACCGGCGCCATCCAAGACGCCGACAACGACAGCTACGACCACGTCGTTATCGTCTACGTCGTCCTCGCCGCCGCGTCCGTGCTCGTGTCCATCTTGCTGATCGCCCTGTCGTGGTGGTCCGTCGACCTCGGCAACCTACAGTGGGCCAGGAAGCAGCGTATTGCCAACGGGGAGCTGTGGAATGAGAGGAAGAGGGCCTTTTACGAGGACAACGGGGCGCGGAATAAGGCTATCTCCAAGACTTGCTTTGGTGCTTTGATCTTGTTGATCCTGGGGGCCTGGTCGGCGTACTTCTGGGGTGTTGCTACTGGAAACAATTCCTGAGACTTTGGGCTGTGCTGTGAGGTCCTGTTTGGTGGACCTTGGAGTCCTTTGAGGGTCCGGTCATTTACCGAACTTTACAGAGGGAGTTGGACTTGGTCGACCACTTTTGCCGATACAGGGGAATCAGTTTTTCTCCGTATATATTTCAAGGGAATTCACGCTTAACATAATGTCTATTGGATATTGTTGTCTGAACTCTTGACGTTCAAACAACCTAAAACCTCATTTATCGAATGGATCTTGGTACTTTCCACTTGGGAACAGCAATTGATCCGAGTCGGAAGAGTCAAAGAATTAGAGTCACGGCCGTTTTGGAGGGGTTCATGTCATTAATATGACTTTGTGGCCATGGCAGGCCATCACCTCAACGTTGAGTTGCCGGCTACTAGTATGTAATGATCCCCTAACTTGGGAAAAAATGTGATCCGCATTTCGACTCAGATCTTGTTTTGAGCAGTCACATGTTGCCCAGGCTGGCTAAAACGTAACACCGTATGCTCTTGAATCCTATGTACACTGGCCCCTGTCCCTGAGGTTATGGCAGAGGGATTTAATCACACAAGTAAACGTTCACTGACCGCCACTTCGGTTCGTCCACATACTTCGTAGCGTTGACTGTAATGCCTGTCACCGTGATGGCATTGTCGAACAAGTCAATCCTCTTATGTCCAATGCTGCTTCCATTAGAGACGAGACTCCAAGGTACGTCCAAAGTCCCATTCATCTCCTCGGCATCTACGATCTTCGCGTACACCTCGTAAGCTCGGATAACTTGTCCCTCTGCCTGGTCCTCCATGATGGCGATCCTGTCGATGGACGTAGGGTGTTCAAACGAGAGCACCACACCCGCCTCGGTCGTAGAGTTTGTAGCCTCGAGAGGGCTCCCATAACACGACTGGATGAAGTCTCCGAGCTCCTTGTACCGTGCCGCATGCCGGGCTGGGACGAGACCACTCCGGTCAGGCGCCAGGTCTAGTTCGAGAATACAGTTGTGGCCGACGGTCTGATGATATACGTCGATCATCTCATCGATAGACCGGAGGGGCTGGTCTTCTCCCCAGAACCACCGGTCGCCCGTCTGCAGGGTCGTGTCGCATTCTGCTGGCGCAAAGTACTCGCTTGATGGGTCTCCGCCGTCGTTGGTGACTCCGGTTGACCATATCTCCTGGTTGGGCAGTCCTGATTCGGTTCCTATCCACCTGATGGCGTTTGCGGAGATGCAGGTGCCAGCTATGTCGCATGAGTTGAAGATGCAGGCTTGGGGTTGGAGCTGTTGGAGGAGTTCCTCGATCTTTGTCATTTGGCTCGCGCTATAGCCACCGTCAAACCAAAGCTAGAGCCAACGTCAGCATTGATGTTCGAGTATCTTGACCAGTCAAGCCGACTCACTTCGGTCAGAGTTCCATAATTTGTCCATAACTCTGTCAATTGATCAATCACTATCTCGTCGTACGTCTCATTTGTGATCCGGATCTCGCCAGGGGACCAGGTAGCATTGACAAGAGAATTCTGGACGTTGAGGAAGTTGTTCACAACAGTGCTGTAGTAGAATCCGTGTCCAAGACCATATTTCTCTGCTGACTTTGAGAATTGTTGGACGACATCGGTCCCGCTGATGGGTGAGTCTGCTACTGTGTAATTATACCGGCTTGTTGTGTTGTCTCTAGTCTCGAAAGACACGGCACTCGGCCATGTGGTAAATCCGCAGTTATGTTTGGCTACCAGCGTCGCATATTTAGCTCCAGTGGCAGTGATGGTGTCCATCCATTGGTCAGTGTTGAGCAGGGTCGGGTCGAAGAGAGAAGGGCTCGGTACCAGCCCAGGGACGCCATTGCAGCCGTCGATGCTGAGGTAAGTGGCTACCTCGAAGTGGATGAGCATGCCGAATTCCCGGTCTTGGAAATCCAGCTGTTCTTGAGTCGGTAGCGCGATCTTGGTACCGTCGACCGGTGACAGGCGATACCTCGGGTACGTCCCGTTGAGATCACGGCGAGCAGGGTATTGCGGAGGAGCTTGGTGGAGGCTGGCCCCTGCTGCACCTACCGCTGCTGCTGCCAGTAAATATCTCGCGAGTTGAAGAATTGCCATTTTGGTCACGGACTTTTCTGGCTGAGAGTTTACAAGGCACATTCAATTCTCTGTAAATATCTGGATGGTGCCAAGACCGCTTTTATATGCTGCCAGAGGGTCGCATTTCAAAGTCACATACGGCGTAACGTCTCAGTAGCTCCAACCGTTAGTCTGGTTCATCGCAATTCTCCCGTCGGCTTTACCACTTGTGTACGCCCAATTCACCCTATCTCGTGCTTCCCTGCAAATGTCCCCTCGCAACCTGCCTACGTACACGCGCCCCTTGTATCGCAACGTTACAACGAACCCGAGATGGGGAATTCCGAATACGTGCCCAAGATGCGTCTAATTGAACCTCGGCATCAATAACATATTCAGCCAACGTCTAACGACTTGGAAAATCGACTCTTCAGTCAATCTCAGTCAATCTTTCTTCAATACACGTAAAGTGATTTGCCTGCCACGCTGTCATGCGTGAGAAGCCTCGCTGTATTTGGCTCGAAGCTAAGATGTATACTATAGTAATCGAATGTAGCTGACAAATAAGCAAGAGCTGACAAATTATTGAGCTGACATGAACTCAACATCGTCAGCATAGAAAAGGACTTAGATGAAGCAATGGACTGTCTTGGTGTGACTTGATCTCCAGGGAGACAACCATACCACTGCTTGACAAGATGCAAAACTTTGCCCTGATCAGACGAGGCGCTGGCACAGCTGTCCTTGAGCCAACAAAGATACCAACACTACCGGATGACTATGTCCTCGTGAAGACGAAAGCGGTAGCACTGAACCCGACTGACTGGACCACTCTTGACGCAGTTGGAGATGACGGAACCATTGTCGGCTTGGACTATGCCGGTGTGGTAGAAGATGTCGGGCGAGAAGCTGCCAAGCGCTTCCGCAAGGGCGACCGCATCGCTGGCTATGGCCATGGAGGTATCGCACACAGCGTGCGGAGCAAGATTGTGATGAATACTGACAATCCGGACAGGAAACGATGCAAACCCACAGAATGGGGCGTTTGCCCGCTATATTGCCGTCAAAAGCGATCTTCAAATGCACATCCCTGACAATGTCTCCTTTGAAGCCGCATCCACTGTATGCGTTGGTGTTGGGTCGGCCGGGTACGGGCTCTATCACGTTCTGAATCTCCAGTGGCCTGATTCGGACTTGAAGGAGAATGGAGAGACGATCTTGATCTACGGAGGGAGCACAGCGACTGGTGCGCTTGCGATACAGTTTGCAAAATTGTGAGGTTTCAAGAATAATTATAACGCTTGTGTGTCCGCTAATTTTCACAGGTCGGGCTATAACGTGGTCACTACATGCTCGCCGCACAATTTTGACTACGTGAAGAGCCTGGGCGCGGACAGTATCTTTGATTATGTACGCCAAATTCTGAAGCCTTCTCTCTTTATTGTGTAGTGTTCAACCCTGCGCGATCATTCTAACATCTACCAAGCGAGCCTCAGATGTGGGCCAAAAGATCTTCAAGGCAACCGGGGGGTCCCTCAAGAAGATCTTCGACACTGTCAGCAAAACGGACTCTGCAGCGATCTGTGCCGCGGCATTTGGGCCGCAGGGAGGCATGTACTGCAGCCTGCTCCCCGAGAAATGTCCACGCTCCGACGTGGAGTCGATATTCTTCCTCGGGTATGATTTGTCTGGTGAGGCATACATATTGGAAGGGGATGCCTACCCAGCAAATCTAGAAGCTCTGGCATTCGGTCGTAAGTGGTTCGGTGTGGCTGAACAGCTCTGGGCGAGTGGCAAGTGGAAGAATCACCGCGAGAAGGTAGGTGGAAAGGGACTTTTGGGTGTGTTGGACGGTATGCAGATGATGCGGGAGGATCTGGTTAGTGGGGAGAAACTTGTCTACCGCGTTGACGAGACGGAATGGCCGAGTACATCGTGAAGTGTTGGGCTGTTTGCACACATGCTTTACTGAATACACATTGCGATACCAGTCATGATCACTGACAGCTGAATCACGATACGGTCTCTTTCAGATTTTATTGCGTGCCACTATTTTCAGCTCAAAGACCCGTGCTCCGAATTTTGCCAGATAGGTGTCGCCTCACAGAGTGGGCTGACTCACTCCCATGGATTCATAGACCCTCAAGTGTTCAAGCACTATTAGCCAGTGTCCTCACCAGGTATATGTGTTCATGTGTTGAAATCTTGTTATGGCGGTCTCATCCTCCACATGAGTCCGCCACCATCTGCCATAAGTAGCCTGAAGAGCAAATAGGCAGGTTAAGAATTACGCAAACCCCACTAATTCGAGTCGGGCAACTCCTGTGCAACAACCATTCTAAGCAAGAAAAGCCTGGACGAATCATGCGGCAGAGGCTGAGAGAGGAGACATCTGGAGTCGCAGGTAAAACGGGCGTTGTTTGTCCAGGAGCAGGCAATACTTGTTGGCGCTCCATGCACATGGGCCATCTGACCGTTCCCAGCTGTGAGCCCCAATATGCAGCCTCTTGACTACCGTCTCGGGAAGAAGCAAAAATGTGCTCAGGAAGGGAGGCAGGTCCCATCCGAGGGCAAAAGAAGAAACACAACTCCTTGATCTGGCCCGGGCTTGAACCGGGGACCTTTAGTGCTCACATTAACGACTCCACGAACCCAGAAGGGCTCGTAATGAGTTATTTTTAATGTTAGACTAACGTGATGAACCAACTACACCACCGGACCGAATCGTTGTGTACGATTAATTGATGGTGGCGGGTCGGAAAGGGTGGTTGATATCGTCGTGTGCGCCGGCGTGACCGGGACGGGGGCTCTTTGAGGGGACTGGGATTCAGAGAGACCCACAGGGACTGGAAATCTTTCAATGACTTGAATCACACAGTGCACGGTACAATGCAAGACGACACCGTTGGGGAGTGAGGGTGGGACTGCTGGCGTCAATGTCTACTGTGCAGAGTATGGCGGTACACGCTCATCGTCTTCGATTGGAAAAATGGAATTCCAGGTCTAGGGATCGAGACCCCATGCAGGGCGGCTCGGAGTGCTCACTGCTCAAGAATACGGAGTTCATCATCACAGGTACAGGCTCACTGTCTTGATCTCTCTGAGGTTGGCCTACCCTGGGACAATCTACAATCTCCCTAGGGATGGATGACCTCCCGTGGGATGTTCTCCTGTCGGGCAACCTGACATGGGATGGCCTCCTCATGGGATAACATCCATCCTACTGACATGTAGTCTCAGCTCGGCGAGGTGGTATAAGCTCGCTGAGACAACATTGAAAGTGCAAATTTGGGGTCGTCTGGCAATGAGGCTCTCCACCCCTGCGCCTATGGACCCGTGGACCGCCCGTGATTGAGCAGTTGAGTCAGGAAGAGAATGAGAGTCGGCAATGGACCGAGCAGTGATTGGGTGGGATGTCCTACAGAAAAATGAGAACGTCGGGAAAGAGGGCCATACAGAAGAAACGAAGGGTCGGCCACGCAGTCGCAGCGAGTCGCCATGCGTGCAATGTCGGGCCGACGCCGAGAAAGAGGGTCAACAAGCGAGGAGACAGCTAATAGGAGGATAGTATTATGTCAGATGCGAAGTCTCTGTGGCAGAGTTTTTCATTCTGCCAGGGCCTGGACCCGTCTTTCGTTGGTGACAGGCTGAGAAGTTTGCAGACAAATTTTTGCGGGAAGTGGAGCGCGGAGACGGAAGGCGGTCAATTCTCGGACGCAGTGGCAGAACGGTGCACAGACCACCACAATTTGAATATTTAAACCTCGCGCTGCTCCCTTCCTTTCAACCTTTTTCCTCCTACCTGGTATGTCGACAATACTTCAGAGAATCATTTCTATAGTTTTTGTCCCATCTTCTATGTTTCCCAACATAGCTACAGATCCCACCCAGGTTGATGACCAAAAATCCCCGGCACGCCCTAGAGTGAACACACCAACTTTTACTCCCGACCCGCCTGCAAAGGTGGCGGTCTGCCTTCTTGGTAGACTGTATAGGGAGTGGTGATGATCTCTACCCCGATCTTCCTCGAGGTCTTGCCTTCGGGCGCTCGGGCGGGGTGGCTGTTGGTGGACGTCTGACTGGCGGTTTCTTTTTCTTTTTTCATTGCTGTCGTGGGCTTGCCCGCGACGTGACGAAGAAAGCACCAACGATGCGACACGCGACACGCGACACGTCCAACGATGGTCGTGGCAACCATCCAAAACCGGCCACCGTGTGCAGCCCATGCTGTGACCTTGGTCAAGCCCACCTCCCTCGCTCTCAGTGATACCACGTGCGTGCCAGACGGTTTGCGCGTGCTGTCGCAACTTCGCCGACGACGGCGCTCCCCGTTTGAGGGAACCTGTCTGCAGCGCCATCTGTAGTCGGTGCGACGGCCAGGCTTGAGACGCTCATCATCGTGCCTCGTCGCACGCATCCACAGGCTGACATTCACTCACGTACAAAGTCCACGACGAGACGCGCCAACCCGCGCTGCTACGGCGATTACGAGTGCGACACTGCGCGACAGCTGCGACAACTGCATCACCACGCCACCGCGTCCTCTTCGATCAACCTCGCAACATCGCCCGGCACCAACTCCCTCAGCCTGCCCCAGTCCCTCGCCTCCACGGCCTCCCTGGCCAGCGTGCTGCTCACGACTGCCCCCTCCGCGCCCCCCTCCGTCCCCTCGACCAGCTCGACCCGCCCCGCCCACTCCCTCCTCCCCCCGACCTCCTCCAGCTCCCCGCCGTGCATGATGCGCTCTATGTACCCCAGCTGGTCCTCCCGCCCGCCCCAGTCGTCGTCCGTCCGCATCGTGACGCGGAGCTGGGCCCGCGCGAAGAACGGGTCCAAGGCGATCTGCATGGGCGTCTTGTCTGGTTGTGGCGGCGGGTCAACACCGGCTTTGGGAACAGGCGATGTGTAGTATTTTGGCGTGAAGATGCGGATCAGGGTGTCGTAGCCGGCGAGGAATATCTGCTTTGTTTGTGGCTCGCCCTCGTTGCTTGTCTGGGAGGAGGGACTGTCGTACTCGGGCGATGCGGCGATGGCAGCGGATTTGTCGTGGAAGTAGGGATGCGTCGTCAAGCCAATGTCGACGGGGAGCCTCGCCTCCTCGTCGTCGTGTGCTTGTTTGTCCTCCTCCTGTGCCGCTGTCTGTTTTCCGAAACTGCGCCACGCCCGCTGTATGTCCCGTGCGAATGCCTCCATCATCAACAGCCGCTCCTCAAACGTCGCTGGCTTGGGGGCCTTGTCGGCGTTGTTGACCGCCAGCAGCAGCAGCAGCCGCACATCGTCCGTCGCCAGGCCGTGCTTCTTCTTCTGTCCCGCGGGTCCGCCTCTCAGCGCCGTCTGCTGGGCTCGTAGATCTTGTACGGCGGACGTCGCCATGTGCATGTGTGCCAGTGTCGGGGGGTTGAAGCTCGAGTCGAGTACGACCAGCGTTCGGCACTTTCGAGACGCTGCGGCAGCGCTCGGCGTGGGCGCTGTCGGGTGCTGTTGTACTAGCTGGAAGGGTCGCCCGGAGGACTGGAAGCTTCGTAGAGCTGCTTGGAGCCGTGCTTTGGCCATCGCGGTGTCTTGGCCAGCTTCAGAGGCCATCGTGGCCTCGGGCGTCTGGAGAGATCTGTTCTATCCCACGCTGGGGTGTTGTGGGGAGGGCTGGGAGCTATCAGATTTATCGAGAATCGAGAGGGGTTCTCTGCGTCATATCAGTGCCAGGACCCATGGCGCGCCTGAGCTCCGGGTCGGCCGGGGGCCGAAGGGTTGCGGGCCCGGGATCGGCAACAACTACTGATGTGAACTGAGTGCCGATACTTGACATCCAACGCAGGAGATTTAATTTATCCGCACACATGTCTACGCTCACTGGTTGAATTGTGTCTCAGCCGTCTTCAGGAAGAAGCGAATGTGTCAATTTGAGCATCGGAATAATATGTGTTATCAAGCCAACTCAGCCGTGTGCCCACCCCCTTTTCACCCCCAAAAGAAGAAGAGTCTAGAAATAGTGTCGTAACTGCGTGTATTCAGACTACCCATAGGGTCGTGTAAGTGGGCTTCTAAGCCCCTACATATATTCGACTTACACAGATTTACCCTGATTCCACGGAGAATAACCCTTAATAGATAGTCCATAGAGATATTCCAGCAAAGAGAAGATGACAGCAGAAAGAGTCAAACCCAACACGGCGGCTTCAATCACACCCTCCACTCAGAATATTTTCCTTCCAGCACAATTTGAACGTCCGAGACCACATAATGACCCTCGCCAGCCTTGTCGACCATTCAATGATAGTGTGCGAGGCCCGCCTCTATCGACAACATGATCAAGTTTCCTTGCCCTCCCTTCAATGTTTTCATGGTAGGTCTCCGAAATAATCAAAATCCGCCTTGGCCTGTTGATACCTACGCGATGATTGCCATGTCATCAAGAGCATATGTGTCGCGTAATCGATGGCGTTCCAGCGCCGCTCATCCCACATGACATACCCCCACCCCCTCAACAGATCTGGAATATATTCTCCGTAAAGATTGCTGTATTTCCCACGCCACATGAGAATCCATGCAAATGGTGGCCTATAAGTAGAGAGCGCCTGCGTGGTGCCTTTGTCATCTGAGTCTGTCTCATCCACGGGTGCAGAGAACATCTCGTCGCCTCTGAACGGCATGGGATCGCGCCGGCGCTCCGCCAGGTCCCTTTCGCAAAGGCAGTTTACAGCAGCTTGTCTTCTCTGGTACTGAACAACGCAGAACACGCAGTTGTCAAAGAAACAGGGTACCTGTGCCCGCGTGAAATACTTGGACACGAGCTCTACCCGTTTGCTGTGGTCGTCGCTCTCGGCCATGTCGAGTGCGAATCTGAGACCGCCTCGCATCACGGTGCCCTTGAAGTATTCTGTAGATCGAACAAGCGCGAACTGTCAGCAAGGATACTGCACAGATCCCAGTCATGGATCGCGAAAACATACCGTTACTGGCTCCGTCGAGCCTAAGGGAGCCTGAGCCTTCGGCCTCATCCTCAGACTCTGGCTTGGATGGAGCGCGATCCCACTTGGCCGCCGTGACTAGGCCGGCCCATTTATATTCGATCCACTTGCGGAAGCAACACATCTCCTCTACCTCCCAGCCGTCGAATTGGCAGAAGAATATGCGCTGGATCTCTTCGCTGGTGAACGATTGGTACTGCTCGCCACCGAAGAGGTTGCAGAAGATCTGGAATCGATACAGACCCCGAAGAACCCGTCTTCTTTCTGTACAGCTCATACCGTCATACCAGACATTAGTAGGTACCGATTTTATCTCTGATATTGTGGTGCCCTCTGGCCTAACGTCAATTACAGAAGGCTTGAAGCTTTTCAAGAACCACCTGCTTATCTGAGCAGCTAGAGGCCGGACCGTCGACGCATGGTTCGACGTGATCCGGCGTATATCAGCCAACGACATGGACTTGAGCATCGCCATGTCGCTGCGGGTGTACCGCCACCACCCGTAGAGGTCAAGGAAGTCGGTGACATTCGAGTTTGGGTCTGTGCGGGGGCCGATCTTGGAAGATGTGGAACTGAAAGCGGCAACAGCATCGATTAATACCTCGCCACACAGGTCGGCCTCCAGATAGCCGCTGAGGAGAGACTCGCGGTCGAGGCGGAATTGAGCCAAGTACATGGGAGACGCCTGGATGAGCGAGCCGAGTGATTCGAGATCCGGCATGGTTGAGAGGACGCGGAGCCTCAGCTCGGCAG